GATTAATATGCAGTATCTGGTCCTGATGGTGAATTTCAGAGTAGGCTGCTTGGAGTTCATGGAAACATGGAAATTCATCAACGTGTGCAAGCCACTGTGGAGGAATATTTGACAGGGAACCAAGAATCTGAGACCCAGAGGCGAGGGAGTGAGACAGAAGTTCGCAGTTTGTTTTTTCTTGGTTAATCCCACACCTGTGTGCTCTCTGCAGGGTCAAAGGAGCTTGCAAAGAAAAGCGTCTGGACTTCTTTAAGTTGCTTGAAGACGTTTCACCTCTCATCCGAGAAGCTTCTTCAGTTCTAAGGTCAAATGGTGGAGAGTCCCAGATATAAACCTAGTGGGAGTTTCCCCCCACAGAGGGACAAAAGGACCCCCTGATGATCCTCTAATCGCCTGAGCCAAGGTGTGAAACTGGGCATGGGTCCCAATCAGTCAGAGTTTCGGGTGAGTTCATTGTGAAACCTGGCCCCACCTTATCATGCGAATTCCTGAAATCAGATGGCTCAGGATGTGAGTGGGCGTTAAGGCGTCTGGGGAGGGAACTCAAAACTAGATTATAGATGGCAGAGAGTTGGTGTCGTAAACCCCGCCTCTGTTCAAAGATGGTCGCTCACAGTGGACATAGATGGCTTCTTTCACTCCTCTTTCAAACCATCTGTCCTCTCTGTCCAAAATGTGAACATTGGCATCCTCGAAAGAGTGTCCTTTGTCCTTAAGATGCAGATGGACTGCTGAGTCTTGTCCTGTGGAGGTGGCTCTTCCATGTTGTGCCATGCGCTTGTGAAGTGGCTGTTTGGTCTCTCCAATGTAGAGGTCTGGGCATTCCTCGCTGCACTGTACAGCATACACCACATTGTTAAGTTTGTGTTTTGGCGTTTTGTCTTTCGGGTGAACCAGTTTCTGTCTGAGCGTGTTGCTGGGTCTGAAATGCACTGGGATGTCGTGCTTGGAGAAAACTCTCCTGAGTTTCTCTGATACGCCGGCTACATACATACTCTCTGCAGGGTTGTGGAGTCTGTTAGTTTAGCTAAAACAAATCTGAGGAAAGTTTGCAAGTTAGGACGACAATAGAGTGCCGTGGAAATGAAGCCAAGACTGCTTCTTATTTTACCTCACTTTTTAAGGGTGTCTTCTGAAGTAGGGACATATTAAGGCAGCGAGTGTAGAGGGAATGATTTTGTGGTGGTGGTGGTTCTGAGGATTCAAAAAGGGGAGATTAAGGAGCACACGCTTTCAAGATTTCCATAAATGCACACATCCAACAACCTTTCCCTGCTTTGTCTAGTCAACAGCCTACCTGAGCCAGCTGGCCAAGAGTCAGTTGACCGCACATTATGTTTACTGCATGAATGAAGAAGGCGCATAAAGCTTTGCACAGTGCTTTACTGCCCTCTTTGGTTAAAAGTTCTGTGTCAGACGAACCTCTGCTGGTTGCACCTGTAACCAAATTCCCCTAAATGCCTGCAGAAGTTTGGTATTTACTGCGCAGGCAAGTGAAAACAAAAACCTCTGTCAGTAGTACGGCATTTTGTGAAACACCTTCATTTGACACAAAGAGATTGATGAGACAAGCAAAAAGTACTATTTTCAGAACACAAGAGTTTTTCAGTGTCAGAATCATTTTGTTGTCTTCTGATAGCCAAGACTCTGGAAACAATTAAAGAAAGAAAGAAAGAAAGAAAGAAAGAAAGAAAGAAAGAAAGAAAGAAAGAAAGAAAGAAAGAAAGAAAGAAAAGATTAAATTATAGTTAAATATAAAATTCACAACATAAAGACTGAAAATGGTCTGAAAATCTAGTAATCCTCCAAAGGTTTATGGGCAGGTGAATGCAGAACTGAAGTCCCTTCATCCGGTCTTCCGATCTCTGTGAAGCTGTCGGGCTTTAAGTGTTTTTGTTGCCATTCACCGGAGGAATGTAGATTGTTTTTCTGTGCAGTCAGCTGTAGCTTAGGTACGCCTGTTCAACTGCTTGTTGGCTAAAATATCTAATCAGCCAATCACATGGCAGCAGAGAAAATGTTGTGTGGAAATGCCTCGTTGATTTCACAGGTTAGAGAAGGAAAGTCAGCTTACTTTAAGCTGATAGGAAAGCAACAGTAACTCAAATAACCACTAATTACAACAAAGAGCCTCTCTGAATGACAACATCTCACATCTTAAAGCAGCAGCAGAAGACCCCACCAGGTGCCACTTCTGTCAGCTAATAACAGGAAACTGAGGCTCCAATTCACACAAGCTCTCCAAAATTGGAAGACAGAAGATTAGAAAAGGGTTGTCTGCTCTGAATCTCAATTTTGGGTCAGAAAACAGCAACATGAAAGAACGGGTCCGTTCAGTCCTTTATCAACGTTTTTAGCTGCTGCTGGTGTGTGTGTGTGTGTGTGTGTGTGTGTGTGTGTGTGTGTGTGTGTGTGGGGGGGGGGGGGGGGGGGGGGGTATTGTTATTGTCTTGGCACACTTTGGGACCCAAAGTTCCAACTGAGCATCTTGTTGTATTGTTGCTGATTACATCCATCCCTTTATGATGACAGTGTATACACGGACAGCTGTTTCCACCATGTCCCAAAACTCAAATCACTTCAAACTGGTTTCTTGAACACAACAATGAAATCACTGCAATCAAATGGCCTGCGCAGTCACCAGATCTCGATCCAGTAGAGCACCTTTGAGATGTGTTGGGACAGGAGATTCACATCACGGATGTGCAGCAACTCTGCGATGCTGTCGTGCCACTCTCAGAGGAATGTTTCAGGGATCTTGATGAATCTGTGTCACAAATTAAGACATTTAAGAAAACACAAAAGTGTCCAATCTGGTGCTTGAAAGCTGTAACTAATAAAGTGTCTAGTTAGTGTACAACGGACATTTTAAAAGTACTAATAATATTTGGACACCCATTTCTCAAAATGTACTTTAGGTTGCAACTCTTTAAATGAATCCCACAAACTCATTTTAAATAGTAAACATCTGAAAAACAACCTTATTTAACTCTTAACTACCAACCCCAAATTATGTAATTTTTTATCACCTCCCATCTCTTGCATAAATAAAACATCAGCGTTCATCAAAACATATGAAATATCTGTAAAAACCAGCAGAGTGAAAGAAATGTAGCTTTCACCACAAACTGCTGTGATGAAGGCTATCGTGTTTCCACAACCACCGTCTAATGCATTAGAAACCGAACATTAGAGGGGCTTGTCAGGGAAAGTGTGGCAGGAGAAAGTGTTTAATTGTGCTCTGGCCATATGAGCTGTGTCTTCACTGCCAGTATACCTCCTGCCAAGGTCATTAGCTGCTAATTCTGCAGGGTCTAGATTGCCTTCGATAAGAACAAAAAAAAATAAAATTTATGGCATTGATTGTACCCGTGAGCATGCCGGGGTCAGAGCGGCTGATTGCTAAACAGGTCTCTGTCTCTCCAAACTTATTTCACACATTCACTGCAGCTTGACCGCCTCTTTTACATGAATAGAGTTAATGTAAGGCAATACTCCTCCGTCCATTCAGGTCATCTTTGGTGCTCTCTCTGCTCTGCTGCACCGGTGTGAGTAAGTTAACTCTTTGTGATCCCTTTCTCCATAGTGTATGTGGATGGCGGATAAGGGCATGGACGGAAGATGGAGGCTGTTAAAAGAACCAGCAGGTGAGCAGCGTCTGGGTCCTCTGTGACCAGCTGGGCGCTGTAAAATGACCGCCGCTGTTGTGTGTGGTCTGAATAGAGCTGAGAGACGATGTTGTTGAGGTCAGGCAAGGAGAACCCCAGAGGAACCCCTCTCTCTCGCAGGAATCAACTGCGTATCTTACACTCCATCTACTTGCCTTTTATAGAAGGGCCGGTTGGGCCATTACCTGAGCTGCTGGGAAAGATGGAGATGAAGAGCATGTAAATGTAGGTCAAGACATGGGAAAAGGTTTACGTAATAAGATTAAATGGTTTAAATACACCCAATCGTCTAATTTTTAATAGCGTGCTCTTCATCCCTCAATCCTGCCATCAGTGCTCTCCATTTCCCAAATTTCATTTCCCGTCTTTCCTGCTCACTCACAGCCGGTCATGGATCTCTCTGAGGACGTGAGGTCTTCAGCAACTGAGGCATGTCCGCTTCTCAAACATTCATTGTCAATGGCAAGTCGAGAGTTTCGACTGCACAGCTACCAGAAAATCACTTTTCTACAAAAACCTGATGCTCTCTTGTTACACCACAAGAATGAATCATTGTCCAGCTGCACAGTTTGAATCATAGTTAACAAATGTCTCCGTCAGCTGACCTGAGGGTTCATGTGCTAAAAAAGTCAGTCCCAGTGATCGGGCAAGCATTGCAAGTGCATCGATTTAAGGAGATAAGCTGGTTCTTTTGACAAACAGCTCAGGTTTAGCTGCTGCTGAGTGATTATGAGTGCTCGTTAAAAGCTAAAGCTTTCCCCTGGATGTTCACCAAGTACGGTTAGATTGTAAATACTGAGCTCTCTGTGCTACGTGCCAGTTTTCAGATCTAGTGTTAAGCCAGTTTAATTAATTGTCGCAGATTTTTTGCCACAGGTCAAAGTACAAGATCATGCAAGAAAATATACTTGCAGCTTTGTGCATACAAAGTGTCACACATGCATACATGCAGTGCAGTCTCCAAAAGTGGCCGCTCTAAAAGCCAGTGTCAGAGATTCCTCCTTGCTTGGCTTTGTCCCATTAAGAGCCTGGGTAGTAGGTGGGCTGCTTGGAGGAATGCCTCCCATATCAGGTGAACTACTGCCCCACGGCCTTTGCTCCTTGCTAGCTAGCAGCGAGAGAGTGCTCCCGGCGGATGATGTATCCCGTGTCACAAAAGCACCTTTCTACACAACAGGGGTACAGAGAATAGGCCACAGCACAGTGGTTCTCCTTGGGTTGGCTCCAGCCCACCATAGTGAGATTTCAGACCTCCCCCTATGCTTCCAGCAAAACCCCCTCATTGGAGGAGATGGCCCTTTACTCACGCCTGGCAGAGATATCAGAGGGACCTGAAGCTCCTGGTGCAGCCTCCAAGACACTGCTAGAGAGGATAAATGACCATAACACTTATGCATAACTGGGTAAGTGCTTATAACTTGGTTGAACAAATATACTCAGAAGCTTTTAAGTCACCTAGTTTAAACTAGTGAGAGTACAAGTTTATTTGATATTTTTGCTTGTGTGTAGATTACTGAAATTGATAGTGTGATTCCAGCTTTGTTCAAACAAATCTGAAATAACTGACTAACTAACAGAAACCAGTATTGACTGAATATCAGACTGCAGCAATAAATAAATAAATAAAAAGTAGAGCTAACCTGTGACTGGCATTTTAGGAAAAGTTAAAATACAGAAAAGGAAAGAGGAAAACATAAACATGGAATAGATGCATGGAAACAATAGAAATTTGAGAGGTACAGTCTGTTCTACGTTTGTGAGTGAAGTGCTAGCATGTGCTTTTTTTAAACTTCTTATTTGTTTAAAGTTTAATTATATGGAAGATTAAACAAAGTCTGACAAATATCAAAATAACGTCTCGATGCACTCTCAGATCCCCGACAACCATGAGGATTATTTCCTGCCAGTCGACTCTTGTGGCTGTAGTTGCGGTTGCTCTCATTGTGGTGTACTACACTGAAGCTAAGACTACTCCGAAGCCAAAGTACCAGTACACCAAGAAACCCGTCCCTCAGATCACGGTCCACAGCCCTGTAACCACCAGCGTGCCCAAGACTCTTAAAATAGTCCCAACTGCAAATCCTGTGAAGCCCCATCCCCCGCCCAACCCAGTGAGGACCACCAACCCAAGTCATGTCTTTCCACAGCACTACCCTGACGGCACCGGGCCACCTGGTGTTGGTCCTGAGAACTACACTCTGGATTACAACGAGTGTTACTTTAACTTTTGTGAATGCTGCCCACCGGAGAGAGGGCCCAGGGGCCTGAAAGGAGAAAGAGGCCTGACAGGTATAGACTCACTGATATGTTTTAATGTTATTAATTATTGTTTGGTTTGTTTGGCTTCAGATTTTCCACTCACACTTATTTTACTCAGGGGCACCTGGAGAAAAAGGCCTTACAGGAGCAGCTGGTTTACCTGGGCCACCTGGCATCAGTGGTCCTATTGGCTTAAAGGGAGAAAAAGGTACACACTTAAAAATTACTTATTAAAATGATATATTGTATTATGTTATTTACTCACTGGCTACTTTATTATTTAGGTATGTAGACATAGTCAAGACACCTGCTGAAGTTCAAACTGAGCATCAGAATGGGGACAAAAGGATTAAGTGACTAAGCATGGTGTACTTATTAGTGCCACATGTGTGAGAGTAACCCAAATAACCACTTGTAACAACCAAGGTATTCAGAAGAGCTTCTCTGAATTCACAACACATCAAACCTCGAAGTAAATGTTCCACAGCAGCAGAAGACCGTACTGGTAATTTGGGTTGGATCTCCTTTTGCCTTCAGAACTGTCTTTATTCTTCATGTCATACATTCAACAATGTGCTTGAAACATTTCTCAGAGATTTTGGTCCATGTTGACAAGACAGCATCACACAGTTACTGCAGATTTCTTGAACATGACTGAATGTCAGGTTCTAGAAAGCAGTTTGGGATGATTTGAGTTTTGCGACATGATTTGTAATCCTGCTGAAAGCAGTCAGGAGAGAATAGGGATGGACGTGATCAGCAACAACACTCAGGTAGGTTTCGGTGTTTAAACGTTGCTCATTTGGTACTAAGGAGACTTTAGTATGCCAAGAAACTATCCCCCACACCATCACATCAACCTGAACCATTGATACAAGGCAGGACAGAGTCGTGCTGTTATGTTTTATGTTGTTTGTGCCAAATTCTGATCTTCTAAAACAGCTCGTTTCGAAACTTGTGACTCATCAGACCAGGCAACATTTTTTTAACTTTCTGTTGACCAATTTTGGAAATCCTATTCAAATTGTAGTTTCCTGTTTTTAGCTGCCAGTAGTGGCACTTGTGTAATCTCCTGCTTAAAGGTTTGATGTGTTCAGAGATGCTCTTGTGCATATCTTTTTTGTAAGGAGTGTAGTGGCTATATTAATTTGTTAGAGTTCTCTTTCTCTTATATTTAAAATAACCACACTGCTGACGGACAAGCGACAGTTTTTACGCGTTGGTTGGTTTGCAACGACGAGTAAAACCATCGTGTGGCTCAGCCGTTTAGTTTATTTTCCACATAAACCTTTTACAATAAAGCACAAGATCCTGTTGACATTTTTCAAAATAAACTGAAATAATAACAATATACATTATTTTCAAACATCAAATTTTAGAATGTGCATGAAGCAAGTTACCTCAAATAAGAACATGAAGTAACTATAAATGGCGCTTACAAGGAGTGATTATTTAGGTACTGTTACTGTGAGTTACTGTTGCCTTCCATCCACTCAGCTTGGTCATTATCCTCTAACCACTGACAAGACTTTTTCACATAGAAAACTTCTGCTCACTGGAAATTTTCTCTTTTTTTTTCTCTGTAAATCTTAGAGATTTTGTGGGGAAATCCCAGCAGATCTGCAGATACTCTGACCAGCTTGTCTGGCAATAACGACCATGTTCAAAGTCCCTTAAATCACTTTTTCCCCCATTCTGATGCTCAGCTTGAACTTCAGCAGCTATTCTTGAGCACATCTACATTCCCAAATGCATTAGGATGCTGTCACATGATTGGCTGATTACATATCTGTGTTAACAGGCATTCAGGCATACCTAATGAAGTGGTTGATTTATCTATATATTGTCTTTCCTCATCTAAGAGAATTTCTTTTAAAATAAATTTATATTTTAAATATAATTAATATATTTGTATTTCGCAAATTTTCTAGGGGACAAAGGTGACAGAGGAAACAGTGGGCCAAGTGGGCCACTAGGCATTCCAGGAAAACCAGGACCAAAAGGTATAAAAATCTCATGGCTATATTTTTCATTGTTACCTGACTTCATTTATTTTTACACAGTTTTCCTTACCTTACAGGTGATGTTGGCTACAAAGGGGAAAAGGGTGAAGTAGGACTGCAAGGTCTCAAAGGAGAAAAAGGGCAGAAAGGAGAACCTGGCAAGAATGGGACTGCTGGTGAGAAAGGAGAACCTGGAAAAGAGGGGCCAGCTGGGCCTCCAGGAGTGGCTACAGTACATGGACCAAAAGGAGATAAGGGGGATAGAGGGGAGTGTGCCTCATATGGAGAGAAAGGACACAAAGGTGAACCAGGTGAACCTGGAGCTCCTGGAATCCCAGGAGCGATGGGAATTCCAGGACAGAATGGCAAGCATGGCTCCCCAGGCCCTATAGGTGTCCGAGGGGATCCGGGAGCTCCTGGACCACAAGGAGAACCAGGGGTGAGGGGGCTAGAAGGACCACAAGGTATAAGAGGGATTCCAGGACTGAGAGGGGAAAGAGGTTACCCTGGGATGAGAGGTGAGCGGGGTTTTCGTGGATTCAAAGGTGCTAAGGGTTCTGGATCAGGGGTTCCCCAGAAACACTCTGCCTTCAGCGTAGGTATCTCTCCGAGAAAGTCTTTCCCTCCTTCAGGCTTCCCGATCCGCTTCGACAAAGTCTTCTACAATGAAGAGAACCACTTCAACATAACTTCCAACAGCTTTACATGTGTCTACCCTGGAGTTTATGTCTTCTCCTTCCACATCACCGTGCGCAATCAGCCGCTGCGAGCCACGCTGGTGGTGAACGGGTCACGGAGAGTGAGGACACGGGATTCTCTGTACGGTCAAGACATCGACCAGGCCTCCACTCTGGTGGTGCTGCGGTTGGCTGCAGGCGATCAGGTGTGGATGGAGACGCTCAGAGACTGGAATGGAGCGTATGCCAGCAGTGAGGACGACAGCATCTTCTCTGGATTTCTGCTTTACTCAGACAAGCCGTGATGCACACTTTGTGTTTACTATCACAAAGTCTGAATACTGGTGGTGCTAGTGTACATGCTGGTCTGCACGTCTTCTATTATTGCCTAGCCTCTTCTTAAGAAGGGATAGTACTCGCCACACAATAATGCTGCTGCAGATTAGTGCTCCAAAGTTTTGATTGACACCACCCTAATTAAATATAATGGTTAAATACAGTCCAATTCACAAAACACAGTGAGTAAAGCATCCCAAGAAATACCCCTGAGGTAATTATTGGAAGATGGCGTTCACAAGTAGTAAAAGATCATAAACTAATCTCCTGTTATCCAGACAGAAGAAAGTTTTTTTAAATGATAAAAGTGTAAAAGTTCAATATTTAGCATAAAAAATGTATAATTTATCCAACATTTTTGTGCACATGCAGTGCCTCCTTATGTTAAAGCATCCTAATTAAAAGTAGCAGCAGTAAGTGAGAGATCGTGCAGAAGTTTATTATTCAGCTACCAACGCAAAAGATAAAGCACAAAAATATGATCAGTGCTGTTTATCTATTTGTCAGCAAGATTACTGTGTTCCTCTACTGATTCCTTCAGTTAACCTTCAAGTCAATGCCCTGACCCAGTGTCACCCTTGCCTCATTTGCATGAAACGAAAAAAAAAGCTCCTTCGTTTTGGGTCCCACTTTTTTCTCACGATTTAACTGCTGCTTCCTTTTTAGTTGTTTTCACCCATAATGACCTAAGCTGTGTGAACATGTATGCAAAAAGCGATCAATAGAAAAGACAAATGTGTTCAAAATAGTCACCACTGATAGCTGCATCATTAATCTTAATGTAAACCTGTCAAAAAATGACTGCACCCCTGTGTCTTATTAAACCAGTGATTGTAATATATAAGAAGTCCTGCTCAAATATGGAGCAGTAAAAAGAAATTGTGTTCACAGAAAATAAAATCCAGCAGTACATAACATTTTGTGAAATGCTTTATTTGACTTTAACATGTATGTGTTAGATATCTCCAACAATTCTGGTACAGCGCTTGATGTTTGTTAACTGGAGATATCAGAATTTCAGGTGCAGGACCTCATATATGAGATTTCTAGTTGTACAAAGTACAAATACAAAAGATGAAAAATTGCACAGTTAAATACAGAAGTGTGACAATGACCCAGCGTGATTAGTAGAGAGATTGTGTGTAATGTATGCTAAGTTATCAAAGAGAATCTGCAGAGTCCCCAGACATGTCACCGGATTCCTCAAATGGATTTGCCTGATCTTGAGTTGTAGCTGAGTTAAAATCCTGGTCTGTAGTCAGCAAAGTGGTTGGGACTGCTTATGAAGTCTTCAGTGGAGGCGCTTGTGATGGTGTGCTCTTTACTGGAGTGAACTGGATCGGCTGGTGAGAGGAGAGGTTAGGGGAGGTTGGTAATGAAGCAGCAGCAGGTGGGAAGTCATCTGTGGCTGAAGCAAGGCGAAATACTGGCCTTTGTCCAGGATGAAGAGGTGGCATCTTCTCAGGTTCTGTTGGGTCAGAGATGAGATGGCCTCTGAGGCTGTGCAACTTTTACACACAAAGTATCACATTTTTAGCAGTCCATTAGGAACTTTGGGGCTTATCGGTGTAGAACAAATGCTGGGGTAAATTAAAATTTAAATACCTCTTATTTGTCCAAAGTTTTTGGGTTCACTGGACTTCGAGAGGTCCAACTGAGGCACCCTGGCCTTGCAGCTGTACAGCCCTGGAGTCTGTTTCACTACATTATAGTTGTCAGAGGTTGCAGGTCCCAGTCGCCTGTTATTTTTGTAGAAATAGAAGTCTATCGGAGGGGCAGGAGCAGGGGCGTTGTACTGCACATGGCAAATGAGCTTCATCCTCTTTAGCTGAGTATCATAGTTGGGGATGATCTCCAAAATTGGCTGTGACAGAACCTCTGTGACAGAAGACATTGATTTAATTTAAGAAAAAACAAGTGGTAGGTCATGAGGCTAAGAATATTTATGTTCAATTGTACTAACAGGAATAACTTAACATTGTGGGAAATATGGGCTTTCTTGCTCAGCATTAAAGGAGAAGGTCTATACACACCAAGTTTAGCACTAGGTGTAAAAATGGATCACATCTCTCAAAGCATGCTGTCATTCCTTTAACTACACCACACCTAAGATAAGAACACACAATTCTGTGTAATCTCACCTAAGATCTGTACATGAGCACCAGCAGAAATGACAGAGAGTGTTTGTCTCCTCACATCCCAGGAAGCCCTGCAAGAATATACTCCTAGGTCCTCAAGGCTCAAGTTGGTCAGATAGAAATCTGGCTTGTGACCGTTTTGTCTCATTACTTCAACGCCATCTTTGTACAAAATAATCTCTTCAAGTCGGGGGTTCCCTCTGACACGACATGTCACCTCCAATGTGCTCCCGACAAGTTGAGGATGTCGTGGGACTTGCAGAATCGCCCAGCCACCTACGGAAACACCACAGAGTTACCTCTGAATAACTTCCAATCTTACATTAGTAAAGCAATGGGAGAAATTCACTAATTTCCTAACATTTAATGTAACAACATCTAACAATAATGCGTAATGCTACAATGCAAGAAGGGGAGGTTAAGGTACTCTATAATACAGCCTGCACCCCTGATATACTGTCTAGTTATAACATAAGGTGGGGAAAAGATACCACATAAGTACAAAAAACCCCAAACAAAACAAGTCCTTGTTGTACCAAATTGACATTTTAAGTAGAATTATAGAAGAAGATTTATATGTTAAACCCTAGAAAGTCACAGTATAAGTTGCAGGCTGTATTAAGAAGTGCTGCCATCACTCACAGCATGTCTTAGATGAGCTGCACAGAAAACCTAAAGTTGAAAAGAAGCTTATAGATGTTCAATGCTCCAGTGTTAGGATTACACAGGAAGAAAGAAGCCTAACGTGCAAAGCAATTTTATTTCTTTCATGCAGACAAACAGATCTTACCGTCCACCTTGAGCTCCACAGGGACACTTTGCTGGGTGCGAATCTTTCCCACCTTCGTGTTTCTTGTTCCTTGGCAGTAGTATTTCCCGCTCTCTTGAACTTTGGAATTCCAGAGTTTTAATTCCCCCCCAGTCTGTGAGAGCTCCTCAGAGCCCCTGAACCACAGGTAGGTCCAGTTAGACCTGTGCACATCAGGAATACTGCATCTCAAGTGTGCTCTCTCCCCCGAGAAGATCCTTGAATGTCCTGACACCAACTCGATGTTGGCTCTGAAAGACGTCTCAGTGGGAACTGCAGAAAAAAAGAAGAATACGTTTAAAGGATCTATTTTGGTAATGAGTGTAAATCCTGAGATCACTTCTAAAATAATATCTGTGCAAATTGAAAGTATATTTGTAAAGAATATTTGGTCCATACCATGAGACACTACAATCTGTGAGAGTGCTGAAAAAACTGAAAGAGAAAATAATCAAGTTTAAATGACAGTTACATCAGGTCAGTATGTAAAAGTACATTTTCATTAAATGAGCTGAAGAAAACTCACCAAAGAGAGAGATGAGCTTGTCCATTTTGGAGACTCTTCAAGAAACAGAAACCGATCGAGTATTTATTCATTTTCACTAAAAGGAGAAGTGAAAATGCTTCTTCCCCCCCTCGGGGTGCGCCATATCAGGACATCCTTCTTACCAAAAAGATTTCTACCCTAGGCTAAAATTAATTTCATGGTAAACCACATCTTGTGGCAAATTGTCTTTTATGCTGTGAAGGCATTTTTTTTGACATGGTCACATCACAGGAAGAATAATTACAAGTAAATGGGAACTGACCATTTTTAACACAGGAAACATTTCTATCCTGATAGCAGGGATCTCTTCCTTCATCAAGAGACCACAAGGAGTCACTGAATCGCTTGATGAGAATGAAAACCATGTGGATCGTGTTTTATTTCCCCCACAGTCACCTGTTATCTGACCCCCCTGTGGGAGGTTTTGGACTGATGTGTTGCACAGTCCTCCCCAACAACACTATTTTTCTTCATCTGTTTAATGTGGAAACTTGATATTTTCTAGAATTAGCAAACACAGTTGTTCTGTTTATTTGTTATTGTAAAATGAAGGTGTTTGTTTTATATGTTTCTATGATAGATTCACATTTCATTTAGTTCATATATTTGTTGGAAAGGGTTAAAAATGGATTGGATAAAACAAAAGTGTAGCTAGCATTGATTAAAAACGTGTCTAAAATATGTGATTACAAAAGAAGGGTTTGTTAAAAGTGTTATAAAGTGTAAAGTGCTGTAAAGTTTGTTTGAGGTAGAGTTTGTGATGGTCACATGACCAGAGTTTAGCTGAGAGCACATCCATGGCATTGTGGGTCAGAACCAGCATGGATACAGAGCTACAGCCACAACAGTAATGTTATTGTGCATGTGGTCTAAGAAGCACACATGGTAATGGTTTTCATGTACAGTATATTGTATATATCATGTTGTATAAATGTTTTATATTGGCGATAAGAGGATATTTTCAGTAATATCCGTTATGTTGCATTTTTCCTGTTCCGCTAGCTCGAGACTGTTTATTGACACTAACATGAGAGACTTTAATGGGTTTCAGAGATATTTACGTTGTAAACTGTGTTTTCTGTAGTTTTCACGGTGTCTGAAGAAAATGAGAAAGAGAGAGAGAGAAATAATCTTCCGAAGACGTCAATATCAATCAATCAATCTTTATTTATAAAGCACTTTTCATACAAAAAAAAATGTAGCACAAAGTGCTTTACATGGTTAAAAGCAGCCCACTCCACCCCACCCTCCAACTCACTCCCCACACTCTCATTAACATAAACAATGTGAATACACACATACCCCCCCCCCCCCCCCCCCCCCCACACACACACACACACACACGCACACACACACACACGCACACTTAAAGAGTAAAATTGGGCTGGGTACGCATGTGCCAAGTGAAGAAACACTATAACAGGGAGCCGTCTGCACCGGGAGCCAATCACAGACCGCAGCCTCCAGGCTGGGCAC